ATTTCATTGAATGACGCACTTCAACTCATAGAATCATCATACATGACGACTTCAGATTCTACCTATATGTTTTAACTTCCACTATTTTTCATCAAAATCATGCGTGAACGATCCACGTGTCATGGTAGACATCAAGGATTAGAGAAATCACGATTATTAAAATAGTACATGTTTTAGCCAAATTTGTACCGCATCTTCTTCTACGTGGTACCTCTTTTTGATCGATTAGTACCTATTTTTCTAAACGAAAAATGATTATTTCAATTTTGGTCAACATTTACAAAAAGTAGTACCAGACATAGAGTAAGGTAGTAGCAGTTTTATATTGTTGTAGTACCTGATATTGGGTCTTTAGTACCACTTGTAACGAACACATAAGATCACCGAATTTCGGCCTCAAATGATGTTTATATGGCCAGAACACTCCAACATTAGTTTATATGAGATTTAAAATGTTTTTAGTTGAGTTTAATCATTTAATGGTCATACTCATTAATAAGAAAACACTACTAATACACTTCATTTCATTGAATGACACACTTCATCTCATAGAATCATCATACATTACTACTCCAAATTCTACCTATATGTTTTAACTTTCACTATTTTTCATCCAAATCACCCGTGAATGATCCACCTGTCATAGTAGACATGAAGGTTTAGAGGAATCACAATTCTTCAAATAGTACCTGTTTTAGCCAAAATAGTACCGCATCTTCTTCTACATGGTACCTCTTTTTGATCGATTAGTACCTATATTTTTGAATGAAAATGGATTATTTCATTTTTGGTCAATATTTACAAAAAGTAGTACCAGACATAGAGTAAGATAGTACCAGTTTTATATTGTTGTAGTACCTGATATTGGGTCTTTAGTACCACTTGTAATGAACACATAAAAACACCAAATATCAGTCTCAAATGATGTTTATATGACCCATAATCATTCTCACATTAGTTTATATGAAATTTAAAATGTTTTTTATTGAGTTTAATCGTAAAATGGTCATGAACTCGACACAATAATGAGAAAACACTACTAATACACATAATTTCATTGAGTTAGACAATACCCATTAAATGGTAGTTTAGGACCCAGTATCGCGTAATCAGTACTAATTCCAACGAACATAAATACACATTGAATTTCTGTCTTAAATGGTGTTTATATTACTCTAAATCACTTATAAATTAGTTTTATGAGTATTTAAATTTGTTTAATTAGGTTTACTCGACAAGTGGCCATGAACTCAATAGAGCTTTAATTTTGAAATTTAGAAATATTTTGATTTTATTTTTAGATAATTTTCATTTTATGTAAACAAATTTGTCTTTTAATTTCAATATAGATAAAAATCATCCATTCATATATCCACAACCGCAACATTCCATTTTTATTGCAATTAAAATCACTTAGACGACACATTCCATATATGAAACTGATAAACATGATGTATCACGCATTAAATTGGTTGATATCCTATCATAGTATTTATTTGTTTTCTTTTAAAAAAATAAATTATGTGCTTAATTTTTAACAAATAAATATTTAAAATTTTAATCCTTCTTGACGTACGGGGTTTCACAACAAATAATATAATCTCGCCTTAACGACCCTTTATATTGAAGTTATATTCCTTTTGGTGTTTTAAAATGTTTATAACGTAATTCGCCGCATTTTGGCTCTTACACTACGCAACGTAATAGAAATTTGTGTTGCGTAAGCTATTAGAGTATAAAATTTTGTTTGTTAGAAATATCATAAAAAATTTTGTTTGTTAGAAATATCAAACATTTCATATAATAAAATCGAGCTGTTAATTTAAAAAATTATTTTAATAATCTTATATGACACTGCTTAGAATAAGATAATAGTTGAGTACTATGATTAATGAAATGAGGGCGGTTTTATTTTGACATGAAATGTCCAAATTTAAATTACATGAATTTCATTTGGTATAGATAGAAGTGTATTTATTTTTAAAAATAAAATAAGTGGATGAATTTTATTTGGTATGAGTATGAAAGTCGAATTTTAGGTTGATTTATTGTAAAATCAAGGTGATATAATTATCAATTTAGCATATTCCTATAATTACTTGTCATAAGATATTAATTATAATTTTATTAATAGCCCCGATATATAATTTTTGAATGTCTTGAGCCTAAGTGGCAGACTCATATGTTTCAGAAGTTTATTTGACATAATTATATGCTTTGAATCGACATATACATGTTCGATTTTAGGCTTGAGAATTACCATAAACTATTTTAGATTTTTTTTTTGTTTTTTTTTTCTCAAGTTACCATATACTACTCTTACTCTTTCTTATTTAATTCATATAATAATTGTTATAATAAAGATGTATTCTTGTTATTTTTAAATCTTTATAATTTTTTATTTTTATTTTATTTTTATATGTTATATCTCAAAATAATCATATTCTAATGATTTTCGATTTGACATCCATATTGCATATATAAAATAAAAAATAATAACATCTATCATTATAAATAAAACTATATTTATTAAAAAAAAATAATTTCAACAATATGAATACAACCTAAATTATTTTAGAACAAATATAATAAGAATCTAATTCAGTAATACACCATAACATAACATTTTAATGCGTTTTAGCATAGATTTTAAATAAAATAAGAAAATTAATTGCAAAAATACGGACTCCATTTTGAATTATTTATTACTTTGTTGGTTATTCATAATTTTTATATATTCATGATATATAATTTTCAAATATAAAAATAAATTATTTTAGTTTCTCTATTGTACAAATATTAATATATTTACGTACACGTGTAGTACACGGGTATCGTACTAGTTGATATATATTCCTCTTGAAAATTAGATAGATCTTTGAATAAATGTATTTTAATAAAATTAAAAATTAAAAATTTAATTTTAGAAAATCAGTTGATAAATTTGAAAAACAAAAATATAGATTTATAGATTTAGTATAATATAGATTTATATGAAAAAGATTAATAAAATATAATTTTTTATTTGGATAATTATGCAAAAAAAAATTACATTAATTAATAATAAATTAAGAAAAATTAGTAGTAGAAGATGATAAAAAGAAAATAATAAAAAATTATATCAAAAGATAGAGAAAAAAATAATAAAAAATTAACAAAGATTGTAGTAGAAAAGAAAGAGAGAGAAATTATATGTAAAGTTAGGTTGGTAGTGGGGTGATGTCATTTGTGTATTTATTTTTGATTTATTTTAAGAATAGGGAGTTAAGTGGAAGTTGTTTATGAGGGTAGGGAGTGCATAATAAAACAATTTGTATGGGGACTGAGAAGGAAAAGTAAAAGAGGTTTAGGGATTTATAAGGAAGTTTCCCAAAGATATTTCCATTTTTTTTTTTCGAATAGAAATTTTATAAAACTAAAAATCATATAATTATAGCTAGAAAACAACTAGAATCGTCAATCAGCTAAACGACTAAATTCAGTAGGCCTACCGAAAGTAGCTTAGAAACAACTACACTAATACGCAACTAAATGCAGGAGGCCTACCGAGGTAGCCTAGAAGTAACTACACTATGCAAATACACTAACGCATCCACAACACAACAAACTATAGAGCACCCAACAGGAAAATAACACACTCTCCTAACGAGAAAACTGTTTCTTTTATTTGCTTCCGTATAGTCGTTTTTCCAAAATTTGAGTATCTTGGATTATTGAAATGTTGGAATTTAAAATATTGAATTGGTTGTGAATGTTTTAACTCGAGACTATTATGATTGAGTGATTTGTTTTACATCTTGTGGTATTCTTGTGTGGATTTGTGAATTTGGGATTGAGTTCCCAAAGGCTTAAGATGTGGCTTAAGCTAAGTTATAAATAAGTGTTTGGGTTTGAGTAATTCCCGAAAAATGGTTTCAAACTGAAAAACGGTTTTCGAAAAATTATCGTTATTTTTGAAAATTTGGGATCGTCTCTTTAAAAATAACGAGGCGTTACATGGATGTTGTTCAACTATAACCATCTTATACTTTTAGTTTATTAGAGTCGTTGATTAGTTTGATTCATTGATGTCCTATACTTGGTCACTAAGACTTTCTTTTCTTTTCATGTTTTGATAGCTTTTGATGAGGTTCATTTTCTTTACACACTTACAGTGTGGTCTTCCTCTCAAAGTTTGTTTCATATAAGGAATTATATGGGTCAACGATGTATGAAATTGTGAAGCCTTATTTGTTTCAAGAATAACTTCATCTTTTGTGGTGTTTTCCGTCGACAAGCCCTTGATCGTGGTGTTGCGCTTTCCAAAGAAGAAAGGCTTGCAAGTGATGTTGACCAATTGAAGAAAGAAAAATTCACGAGCGGACTCTGTTTAGATGGAGGCTACCATGTTCTGGACGAGTCGACAACGTCATGACTCAACCACAAGATGAACACAACTTCATGAACATTGATAGAATGCACTCCAAAACCATGATATTGTCGGCAATTAGAATGAGTTAGGTACCAATATCGAATATATCTAAAATTTCTGGTTATTAGGACGACAACCAGCTTAATGGCACATCATATTTTGAGCAACACAAAAATGAATACTGGTCCCCATTAATTAATTGCAACCCAATAATAATAGCAGTTTCTTTCAAATGTAATTCCGTAGTAAAGCATATTCAACTCCATAAACGATCATAAAATGTTCGGCAACAGAAACAATGAAAACTTAGTTGATGGTTCGACATAATTCACAATGCACGTGAGCCTGGGATTCTTGTTCATACTGTTTAAAAACGTACAATGTTCAAGCAGAAATACTACATTAAAAAAAAAGGCAGTAGCGATGATAACAGTGGTAAATAACAACTTAAAAGACAAAGCAATGGGACTTACACAAAAGTTTCATTCCATTAAACACCACTCATGCGGAGACAAAAGAAACAAAAGCGTTCAAAGATATAAAAGGCACTCGTACAGCATACGGAAGTCTCAAGCATATAAATAAAGGATCAGAAGTAAGGGCTGTATCTCATAGGTACCCTGAACCTTGGGACCTTTCTGCAATTGGATTCAAAATAGCCACACGTCACACTTTATTCAGAAGACAATACGCCACAGTGATATTAAAAGGGTGATTCTCACAAATTTTTGAGAAATTTTTCAAACACGTAAGAATGGCGAAACCAATTATAAGCTTCTAGGAAGGAAAAATGTAAAGGATTTTCTGCTTCTGGGCAGAAAGACTGCAACTTCCAGCTCTAGGTGGAATAATGATCAACTTTAAAATGGAAAATGAGCAATGTCATTTTTTTCCACATTCTTTTTCTTTAAATGCTTGCAAACACTCTGTTAATACTTATTCCTTCTGGCCTCACACAAATATGTATTAAAAAATCAAAAGAGAAAGATCAATACCCATATCCATAAGGCGAAATAATGTAAGGAGCGGGAATGTATGGGCCCCGGGGCCTACTTCCCAAGTAGGGATTAGGACGTCTAGGACGGAACTGCTTCATGCCAGGGACATTGGTCCTCTTGGCTGATACCTGGAAAAGAAAATGTAAAAACACTTCAAAAAATTTAAACATTACATAAGCCACAAAAACAATAGCAATATGAGGCTTGGTAAATTGAAGACGATGTTCATGCAACTCACTTTCAACTGCCGTCCGTGAAGTTCAGACTCATTAAGAAGAAGAGCCTGCTCGACAGCTTCTGTTTCAAGAAATTCAACATATGCATATCCCTTGGGCTGTCCATATTTGTTGGTTCGTATAGTTACCCTATTCACGGTCCCACAGGACTGGAAATGCTGTTGAACTTCCTCCGGTGTGCATGCATAATCCACCTATGTCAACGCAAAGAGTCAGAGAGAACACTAGACTTCACAAAAGACGCCATAAATATGGCACTATCTTATAATATGATGAAAACTAAATAAATGTATACACAAATGAATAAAAAAGAAAACAATTTAAAAAACTCACATTGCCGACAAAAACTGATCGGGAATCCACTTCTTCCCTATTTGCCTGATTAGATGCAGAAGCAGGATCTCCTATTTAATTGATAAGCATAAGTGGATAAATTATGAATACTTTAAAATAGGAAGGGAAAGTGATGCTTATAGTCATTGACGGCACTAACTGAAGATGGTAATTGCACATGATGGTTGTTACGCATAATAAAACAGAAGACATCAAACGCCACTATTTTTAAGCATAATTACTTTCTACATAAAAGACACAAGCAGAAAGTGTGGATAATATAAACCGATGAAGCAAATGAAATCACTCTAAGAGCATTTCAAGTCAGGATCATAACCTTCTAAAGACACAAAACATTCTAAAAGCATTTTTAAGCTTGAACTTTTATGGCAGATCACGGAAAGGCCTGGTACCTACCAATAAGTGCCGAAAGAGTCACCTTGCAGAATTCATTCTCAAAGTGAGGAGTATTCATTCTTAAATATCAAGTTAATTGGAAGAGATGTTTTCAATCCACACCATGCAATTAGTAGTTTTTTCAACAAAGCTTCATAGAAATTAAAGTGAACCATAGTGTACAAACATGAACATGTAACTTCCAAACAAGCAGATTGTTCTTCCCCATGCACAACTAAATATCTCATTGTACAACATACTTGTCGGAGGCGTAAACCATGGCATAAAATATCACCTCTAATATTTTAAGCTTCACAAACAGAATGGCATAGCTACTTACATGCACTAAAAGTCTTAAACACGAGCTTCATTGTGATTTGTAAGTTAGGGTTTAATTTCTAAAACATGAATCTTCCATAAAGAACGAATCTGGCAACCTCAGGATCAGAAATCTAAGGAGTCTCTATGACTTAAACACCCACTTCTGAACTCTGACCATCGTAAATAAGTTCAGCTACTAAATTCCATTTCACGTCTACAAGAAAATGTTGTCAAGTACTGGACTGAAAGAGGCGCTTTCAGATTGAAGCATAAAAAGCTACATTATAATTTCAATCTATATTTGAAACTCAAGCTGACTTACGTCCCTCATCGACACAAAGTGTAAGGTGTACAATCGGCTACAAAATTCTTCAACCCGAATCCCAACTCATATCTAATAACTGAAACCCAATCTCTTAGAATTTATTCTCGATAGACAAAATTATTTACATTAATATCTTTGATTTGAAGGATGCACCGTTTAAACTACCAAAATCTGCACACCACACATAACGAAAATTTCCCCATTACTTCATTCTGCACCATTTAAAACAGCACTTTCAGCCCAAACACAAAATTCGACACAACAGTTATAAGCTTTTGGAGTGTTAAATTGGATCAATTGAAGGCAAGAAGGAACCTTGAACGGAGCCCATCTCCTGCTCGACTTTCGCCTGCATTTCTCGGAGAGCGGCGGCCTCGTCCTCCATCTCCTTCAGCCTCTTCTTCATATCGTCCAGCTCCTGCGTATGCGTACACGCTACGTTAAGTATAAGCAATTAGCAATAGCTAGGGTTTGTTGTGATGAGGGAAAACAAAATTGAACGGAAATCAGATCGAATTGAACAAATTGAAAATGGAGAGAAAATTTGTATCACAACGGCAGCTCCTCCCTCGGCTCCCGCCTCCGCTGCCGCCATCTCCACGTCGCCCTCCATCAAATTCTCTCTTTCTCAGGCGGGCCTTTACTCGAGAAAAATAATTAGGAACCGGGAAAATAGTAGTTACACACGTCCAGTGACACTTCTACCCCTGCACCCTTTTACTAATTACCACTGTTCTAAAAATCGGCCTAGGCGCTAGGCGATGCCCGGACGCCTCCGATTTGCACAAACCGGCAAAAAAATTGGCCAGAAGGCTAGGCGGCGCCTAGGCGCTCCTAGGCGGACTTAGCGGCCAGACGGTTAGGCGGCGCCTAGGCGGACATAGGCGCTCCCTACCACTGTTCTTTTAAAATATTATTTTTATTATTTGGACTTAGATGTGTCGATTTATTATAAATTGTGACAATTTTATTTTGTAGGTAGTTTAAATAAATAAAAAAAAGGTATTAATATTGATTTCTAGGCCCTGACTAGGCGCTGCCTACGCCCCGCCTAGGCGCTGGTCGAGCGCTAACGACTTTTAAAACATTGCTAATTACAAAAACTACCCCATCTAAAATGTATTTTGATTTTTCCTCCATTTTCGATGGTAAACATGTAGTATTTTTTTTAAAAAAAAAAAAAAATAATCCACTATCATTTCCAACTCATTTTTTTAGATACTTATGTTAGAAATCGTTATAATTATTTTAATTAAGTGTAATCATATTTTTTTTATTATTATTGATGATACAAGAATTACCTGACGTTAGTCAGAGGACACGTGGCGATGGTTGATATATGCTCCGACGTCTCCCTGGACTCGTCTCTTTTGCTCCAATGCCTGCAAAACAGAACCCTAGGGTTGTCCCCAGGGGTAAATCCTCCGATGCCTAAGTTAGAATAGGTTTTTTTGATTTTCTGGGGTGGTGGCTGCGGAATGAGTAGAAGAGAGAGTTTGGAGAGTTCAGAATGTCCCTTACCTTGACCTAGGTCGTCCTTTTATAGGAGTCAGACGACCTAGGTCTCCCTTCTGCAGATGGAGGACTCCCTGGCCCATAAGCTTCGTGGGCTGACCTCAGACTTTGGCCCAAAGTAAAGCCCCTCTGGACCTTGGGCCTATAGTAATTCTCCTCAGGACATCGGGCCCAGAGCAAAGCTCTTTGGGACCTTGGGCCTAAATTGGGGTTGGGCTGCGGCCTTAATCCTGGAGTCTAACAGTCCTCGGATCACACGTGTCTTCATCCTCCCGAGCCACGTGTCGTATAATAAATGTATATTTTTTCTCTTATCACTTGCCCCTCATTTTATGTACGCATTAATGTTTATGCGTACAGAAAATAAGCGATGAGACATTTACAGATTAATATCTGCATTTGGTGACTTTCCAGTACATTTGTGTAGACAGACAGTCTAGTTGCTTGCTATAAAATTCCTCACACTCATTTCTCTTCTCACTTTTCACATTGTTACTTTCTAGAGAGAGAGATATAGAGAGAGAGAGGGAGAGAATCAAGCTCTTGGGGTTGCATCGATTTGTCAAGCTCGACGTCAGCATTCGAAAGTCCTCAGACCCTGGTACTTTTCTCTTACCATGTCCTTATTTCTTCAAGTCTTCGGTAGCTAGTTATTATTTACCAACGTCAGTAGCGTTGGCATTTTCCTTAAGCAACATCGATAGCAATAATTTGGACATATACTTCACTTTGGTAGGCCGAAGAGTTTCTTTGTAGACCTCGGTAGTCCAAAGACTAATTTTTTGAACATCTCGGTAGGCCGAGGAGTTTCTTTGTAGTCCGCAGTGGCCGAGGACTAATTTTTTGAACACCTTGGTAGGCCGAGGAGCTTCTTTGGAGACCTCGGTAGGCCGAGGTCAAATTTTTTGAACCTTGGTAGGCCAAGGAGCTTCGTCGTAGTCCTCGGTAGTCCGAGGACTAATTTTTTGGACCTCGGTAGGCCGAGGGTCTTCTTGGTAGTCCCCGATAGTCCGAGGACTAATTTTTTGAACACCTCGGTAGGCCGAGGGTCTTCTTGGTAGTCCCCGGTAGTCCGAGGACTAATTTTTTAAACACCTCGGTGGGCCGAGGGTTTTCTTGGTAGTCCTCGGTAGTCCGAGGACTAATTTTTTAAAAACCTCGGTGGGCCGAGGGTCTTCTTGGTAGTCCTCGGTAGTCCGAGGACTAATTTTTTAAAAACTTCGGTGGGCCGAGGGTCTTCTTGGTAGTCCCCGGTAGTCCGAGGACTAATTTTTTAAACACCTCGGTGGGCCGAGGGTCTTCGTGGTAGTCCTCGATAGTCCGAGGACTAATTTTTTTAAAAACCTCGGTGGGCCGAAGGTCTTCTTGGTAGTCCCCGGTAGTCCGCGGACTAATTTTTTGAACACCTCGGTAGGCCGAGGGTCTTCTTTGTAGTCCTCAGTAGTTCGAGGACTAATTTTTTAAACACCTCGGTAGGCCGAGGGTCTTCTTGGTAGTCCCCGGTAGTTCGAGGACTAATTTTTTAAACACCTCGGTAGGCCGAGAGTCTTGGTAGTCCTCGGTAGTCCGAGGACTAATTTTTTAAACACCTCAAGACATCTTATGAGATACCTTTGAGACCTTAGGCACTTGAGAAAGATCATTTGAAGACCTTGGGACCTTAGGCTTTGGATTTGTGGATTGCACATTAATATTGAGAACAGTCCTTAGGACCTTAGACGTCGGATCCATTAATTGCTGCCCATGCCCAAGACATCATTTTTGTGTTGGCATCTTTTCTGCCAAAGCTTTTCCCAAATTCTTTTTTTTTTTTTCTTTTGAC